TGTTCAATCACTTTTTGTCGGAGCCAAGGCCCGTGCTGATTTTGCACCATCTCTGCCAGCACATGATTATTTCATCAGCCTCCCTGCGATGACACTATTTGTGTATGCGGCCGAAACTGGAGCAGTGCCTTCCGCTCCACTTAAACCTGTCCATTGCAATGTACTGTAGTCTAATGCTATCGGTGTCATGCTGCTCTGTCGTGAGGGCGCTGCATTTTTGATCAGCCTACAACCATTAGTGCTGGTCGGCAGGGGGTATTTGTGTTGGTACGAGTTCAAAGTCTGTTTCAGTTTATCTCTCTCATGCAGCTCTTGTTAATGAGACCACGACAGGAACATCCTCTACAAATATCAAATAATACTTGTCAGTTTTTGGAAAGACTTGCTTCTTTTACAGTAATATAGTGTTCAAGAATTAAAATGAGAGCAACACACAAACCCAGAAGTTCACCCACTGAAATTTTAATTGCAGTATGAGCTGCAGCGAGCCTGTTAGTGGAGTTACAGCGAATTTGTTCAAGTGTGACCAGTGTGATGCTTCAGTGTACAAAGAGGAAGTACTGCTCAGTATGAAACAAGTGAAATTAATCATAACACTGGAGAAATCCACTTTTGAGACATGGATGTGTGAAGCATATAAAGTACACAAACATGTGCAGATGTTGTAGTACTGGTTTCTTTGTCTTATAAATCCCCGTTGGGTATAATAAATGCCATGGTAATAATAAGTTCCAGTACATATTTGTGTTTGATAGAGAAGGGGAGTGTTGACTCTACTCTGTAGATGTAGCAGAGGTTCAGATGAGGTCAAACATTTTGTAGAGTTACATACTTTTCAAGTGAAACTTTTGCCTACGAGGCAGTTGTTAGAACACACAGGGCAGTGGGCCTTTGTGCCGCTTCCTTTGCCCTAAATGTTCCTGCAGTTTCTTGATTCAAAGCAACTGACAAGCAACCACAGCGTGAACAAATCTTTACTGAAGCGAGGATACGGAGAACTGGCTGTCTTACTGTTACTAGTAATGTTCTGAATGACAGCATGAAGTGAACCAAGAAAATATGCAGTACCCAGATCCCTGGACTTTAGTTTTAAAGCGCTGCAATAGCTCATACCTCTTTTCTGGTTTTCCGTCTCCGTAAAACCGCACTCTAACTCTCTATTTGCCAGGTTACTCCTCTTACTCTCCTCTAAGGTTGGACAGGTTTGTGTGGTTGACCATCTTTCATGGCAACTCTGCACAGCCTCAGGGTTTTTCTGTAAATCGTGGGTGGGTACATCTTAAGGATAAACACTGGCAGTAGTTTCTTTGCATAGTGCCTTTGAAAGCCTGTTGTTTCTCTGTGAGACATTTTCCCAGAAAACTTTTGTACCTAAAATGAATCCCCATCTCGGCATTGCACCAGTATTCTCTTCTTGATATCATTCTGTGTTAGTTGTGACATGCTCCTCCGGTTAGGCAACTCTGAAAATCATTTCATACCAGGAGTTAAATATTTGCTGCATGAGTGGAAAGCAGGAACTGAAATGTCCAACATCATGGGAGAAGATCTATTTCCTGTACTGCTGTATGCCAGTGTGTGGAAAATGTCTTTAAGAAAAGTATAGATTAAATTATCGAGAAAATATACTGAGTCTGGTTGGACAGTCAGTCCCAGGGCTTCAGATACACAAGCACCTTTCCTTTCAGGGTTAGATATAAGGAATCAGAAGATTGAGATCAGTTGGCAGACGTTTCATGCAAATATTAACAAGTGTCAATTTCCAGTAAATTCCCACATAAAGTGACACCTCACCATCTACAAGATGTGTCTGCTCCTCTTACTCAGTCTGTCATGTATAGGAGTGGGTTTGTTTTGCTGCTGTGTCCAGATCATAAAGGCACTCAATTACAGCAGTGAGTTCCACCCTTCCTGATGTCCACAAAACATGATAAGAAAAGTACTGGGTACCGTGTTGAATAATATAAACAAACCACTCTCCAAGTTCCTCTTAACCTCTCTTTGAAGATTTTGGCAAAACCCTGGCAACAAAAACACTGTACAACAATTATATGTACATGAATGTTTCTTTGCATTTTCTTCAGTTATGTATTTTCATCTTTTCCTTTTCAGTTCTTGCACTGTATCTATATTTAGTATGTGACTTCCTCAGTGCCCTGCACGCTGCCTGAACAACACATGTCTTTCTGTATGAAAATCATGAGACTATTGGGAGGCAAATCCAGCCCACCTCTGTGAACACAAGAGATCTTAACCACTACACCATATGGGATATGTCCTTTATAGCCTCAGTTATCTCCTGCTGTGTCATGTTTCACTTCACATCCATCACAGCCATGGACAGATGCACGTTCTCTGATTTCTCTGTTCCACTTTCACTCACCCCACACCACCTTTGTGCGTGTTTTTCTCCACACCAGGGGGTTTCCCCTGTGAAATAGTTCGGCAGAGGTGGTAAGCCGCCTGACCCAGGTCCTTATTCAGCTCAGTTACTTGATGATGTTTGCTGCACTCGTTAGAAGTGTAGCATTTGCTGTGTGAAATAGCTTCTTTTTTCCCTGAAGGTTGAGGTTTTATTTTATAAAAGTGTATAGATTTTATGATTTCTACAAAGGTGGTCAATACTTCAGGAAAGGTGGCCAAAAATTGGAAATCAGAGCAAAGTTGCTCATAATGAACCTTATTGATGCATGACCACATTCGTGTGTTTTCAGAAATACCTGCATGCACAGTTTTCATTTATTTACTTTAAGGATAAATGTACAGTGGATAAAAGTCATCAAGACACTGCAACCTAAAGGTGCCCCAGGGAGTCTTCTCGAAAACAGACAGAAGTTATGTTTACATTTCGTCTTTATCACCATATTGTATTGTAGGTATCCTTGAGGCCAAATGATCATATAGAGTCACAACATGTGTCCTTCCTTACAAAACATCTGTAAACCCATTATTTGTTATTTAAAACTGTGTAACGTTTACCTCCATCTTTGCTGGTTTGCAACCTTCTTTCTTTGCCTCTGTTGGCAAGAAACCAGAAGCACGAATATGTATCAGGTTGCCCACATGTTCGGGCACGTGTATGTGCGTCCTTGTGAGTGCAAACAAAACCGAGACTCACAAGTGAACACATTACTCCACAGCGCTACTGGTGGTGAAAAACTCCACAGGGTACCTTTAAGAAAACATAGCACATAGACAAAAACCTGAGCAGATACAGAAACACTTTAAGTCAACACAGCAGCAGTTTCTGCAGCACACCGATGAACATGCTAGTAATAAGTAAAGGGCTAATGCTAGGTGTACTGCCAATATCTCTAATGATACAGCTCTGTGTGTTCATGGGTTTTCTGTGATGACTTTGCTGAAATTCATACCACTGTACATGTGTTATACCCTGAGCCTGCATTTATTTTGTAGTAACCATAAATCTGTCTTTGATATTTTTGGAAGTACTTGAAGTGTGCCCGTAACTGCTCATCACAGACACAGAATGACACCTGGTAGACACATATATCTCTTTCACATGTCTCTGTCAGTGCTCAGCTGAGTGTTTTTATATCCAATCCGTTATTTCCAGACTGTCAGAGAACTTTCTCATCTTACATTGCCTCCTAAATAGTATCTCACCTCTTGCTTTAGTGCGTTGAAGCCTGGGTCACAAAGAGTGTGTGTGGGTTTGCAACAACTTTCCAGAGCTCCTTGCCACAACCGCAAGAATATTTCTCAACTCTCAGTCATCTTATACTTTTAGTTTACAAAACACCAACGATTTAGTATTTTTAATTTCCTTGCTGGTCCACATTAATGACTCTGTGGCTAAGTCTGCAGAGCCCAGTGGTCATCCTAGCTGTTTCAGTGACACAGAGGATTTTTATAGCCCTGCAGTTTTCCACCAGCTGTGCAAAATGTATTGCAGCGATTGCATTTGGGTGTTTGCCACAGGGACTATTTACACCATGTATTGCTATGCTGGCGTATTGCTGTCTCAAAATAGGGTACAGTTTACCACCACAAGTATTCCTGGAGTCAGAGGGTTCACCCCCTTATCACGTGTAGGTCAGTAGGCTATCGGGTCAAATCTAATACTGTGCCACATCCTAATATATACAGATGGTTGCAGGGAGAGCTGACTAATGAAATTGCACTGCCAACATGGGGTTCACGGGTGCAGTTCTGCCCTCACCCTGCTATCAAGTTAAGGAGACAAATTCATTTACAGCCTTTAACAAGAATTTCTTAAAACACATGTTCTCATCTGTCTATGCTGAGTCCTCCTTTTAAATGAGTGGCTACTTCTTTCCTAGTTTGAGATTCCTAATTTTGGTTGCTTATATTTGTGAGTCCACCGTTCTTTTCATATAGATGTGTTAATAATGTGAGTTTTGTTTTTTGCCAGAGGTTATGGCTGTAGTTTACAGCTCTGAAAGCGTACTGTGCTGTATTTTGTGCCATCAGACTGCAGTGTTGCAAGGCTGTGTCTGTGTGAGAGCATGCTTGAAACTTTGCAATAGCTGACTTCTCTCTGTCGGAACAGCCTGTCACTGATGCAAATGTGTGGCCATTTGGTTTGTGTATGTGTGTGTTGTGCCTGTTCTCATTGGATGTTGCTTATGTGTGTGTGTGTGTGTGTGTGTGTGTGTGTGTGTGTGTGTGTGTGTGTGTGTGTGTGTGTGTTCTCACATATTGGAAACAAATATTGTGTTTGGGCCAGAGCAAATCCAGAAAAACATTCTGTACCCCTGAGAAACATCACTCAAATTACGGCCATGTTTACTGCAGTGTAAGATTTGCCTATGTGTGTTTTATTGTCTAATGATGCACGTCATTGTTGGAAAGGTGTACATTCTTACTATAGCAAAGGTAATTGACTGATATAAGATGCTTTCTTAGAGTTAAAACCAGGGATACACGCATCACAGTAGTAACAGTTGTTATCTTCCAGTGTAGTAAATATATTGATGATGATAATAATGATTTTATCTTTCTCTCATCCCCTTTAGACCAATGAGTGGAACAAAAATGATGAGCGCCTGCTTGCTGCAGTGGAGCATGGCGAGGTGGAGAAGGTGGCATCACTTCTTGCCAAGAAAGGCACCAGCGCTGTAAAGCTTGACAGCGAGGGCAAATCAGCGTAAGCATCCTTTGTATTATCTACAAAATTACTTATGCAGAGTAACTCATTGACAGACAATAGCCTGCAGGGGGATAATAAGATATTGATCTGAAACACTATATAGATTCAGTGATCAATAATCCAGTATTATCGATGCAAAGTGAAGGGGCTGTGTCCTTGCTGCAGCAGCCAAGGGTTTGATTCCAATCCTCGGCCCTTTGCTGCATATCATTCCCCTTTCACGCCATATCTGACCTATCAAATAAAGGCAAAAAGCAGATAATGGTAAGCAGCCAAGAAAAAGACAATGAAGGTATTTGCTGATATCGTCTATCGCAGGCTCCTAGATTGAACTGAATCAAAATCATATTGTGGCAGACCTTGTGATATCAGCAAATATCATATTGTTGTGGAAAGAAACATGATGGAACTTGTGATTTACACTCCTTGCCTGCTGTAAGATGGGTAATATATGAGCTGGGGAAAGCAGCTTCAATCATAAAGGAAAGACACTTTGATTCAGATCTGCTACACTGACAGGCTGCAAACCAACAACCTGAGTAGAATATGAAGTGCAAATCCCCAGCTTGCAGCCTGGTTTAGTAATATCTGATAAGTAAATACAATACAAGTGCAGCTATTCAGGCGCTATCTGAGACGCAGTTCACACTTTCATGACAAAGGTGTGATAAGAAATAGTGTGATTGTGGTAAAATAAAAGTGGGGGTATTTAATTTCAGAGAACTATTATCCAGTCTTGGTTATTTTTGTGTTTTCCTTTCAGTTTTAGGATTACATACTGTGTTTATCTCTACAGCATATGCTCAAATTCTCAAGTCGAGGGGTTATGAAACTACTTTCACGCTCCACAGCACAATGTTAAAAATGAATGGCCAATCTAAAAATACAGCTGTTCCTCTTAGTTCCTGAAAGGTTGACATTTTCATCCATTCATTCAGCCTCCCTGACATTCAGTGTTTTGAGAGCCGGCTCATTTCTGCAGAGGCGGTGAAGCTCGTTGCCTCGCCATTCGAGATTGTTGATAACACAGAGGCTCAGTGTTAATATTTGACCTCTTTTCTTTTTCTGAAACATAACACCCACTGACCTCAATGTGTTGAGCAGCTCCCGCAGAGCCAGGAACATCAAAACACAGGAACAAATGCAACAAGAAACGAATGTGCAGACTCTCACATGCTGAAACAAACACATAGGCTATTTTGTTCCCTCAGTAGTTCACATCCTTGACCTTTTCTCTGTGTGCGACCAGAACACAGAAACACACACACACACTGATGCACGCTCACAGCCTTTGTAAATCACGATGAATGTGGTGGTTTGGGATCTCAATGCTCCAATCTTTTCAGGATGCACAAAGACGAAGTCTACAGTATCTCTATGGTGATAAAACCTGATTGAAAGGCATGTGGGCATAGTTGTGTGAGTGTGTAAGAGAGTGTGAGTGTGTATCCTACTTACACACCAAGGGAATGCTGGGCATGTGTAGTGGTTTTTTCTTTCTGCTCACTGAGCTGGAAAGGGGTTGTATTGATTGCCTGCTGCACACATACAGACAATACAGCCTAAGAATTACAAATTATGGTTTTTCAGAGGGTTGTGGCTGTATGAGCACATAGCAGCAATATTTTGCAAAGTAGCAGTTTTTAAGGATGTTCAAGCTCCCACATCATGAGATCTTTATTAATGTGAAAACTAGAAAATGGTAGCTCACTTACAGACATCTCTGCTGTTGTGATTTAATAACCTCTGACAATTACTGCTTTTCTTATTCTTTGCTTTGGGTTTTTCACACAGGCTTCATGTGGCAGCTGCACGTGGACAGACAGACTGCCTAGCTGCAATCCTGGCCCATGGAGCTGACCTGTCAGTCGCTGATGCTGCAGGTATGTAGTTATATACAGCAGTGATAATTCATGTGGTGATTATTTAGATCAGGGAACTCATTTTATTTCAGGGGCCACATACAGCCCAATTTGATCTCAAGTGGGCCGGACCAGTAAAATCACTGGATAAATATCAACACTTTCAACTTTTTCTTTCATTCTGAAAATGTTCATCCATTTACCAAACCAAGAAAGAAAAATTACATGCAAATTCAACAGTGTGTCTTAGTATTTCCACATTCAGTTCAACATCAACACTGAGTGTGCAAAGTCATCTAGAGGCCTGGATTGGACCCTTTAGCGGGCTAGTTCTGGCCCCCGGTCCGTTTGTTTGACACCCCTGGTTTAGAGTCTGTAATTATTAGGGGTGGGAATCACCAGAGGATCCAGGATACGATGATATCATGATCGACGATGATGCAGTATTGCGATTGTGATTTATTAGCTTTTTTAAACTGTTAATTATATCCCCAAATGAAAACTTTGTCAACATCTGCTTTATCTAATAAGATTAAAAAAAAATCAGTCTGTTCATCCCCTTTTTTATGGCAGCAAAATGTATCTAGAGGACTGACAATGCAATTGATTAAATTATTATAGTATGATAATAATCTTTATTTATAAAGCGCTTTTCAAAACATAGTTACAAAGTGCTTTACATGTCAACAGTTAACAGACAGACATGAAAACAACAACTTTTAAAAGAACTAATAAAAACAATTAGATATATAAAAACTGAGGAAATAAACAACAGTTTAAATGAATTTAAAACTCAAGTAAAATCAATGGAGTCTCTCAGATAAAACTATGTTTTAAGAAGGGACTTAAACGAGATCACTGACTCGGCTGACATGATTTCCTAGTAGGCTACCTAATGTTGAATTTGTATTTGTAATACTGATAATTTATATAATTAAAAGAAATGAAATTTTGCATTGTGTGATGATACAGTATTGCCGAACAAAAACATTGCGATACTATGCTGAATTGATTTTTATTCCCATCCCTAGCATTTATGCATTAATGCAATCATTTGTTTCAGTAAATACTGTAAATAGAAAAGTTTAATGTCCACATACTTTCTAGTGCCACTTCAAAGACCTGTCTTGTAGTTAGGGTTGTAACGGTATGATATTTTCGCGGTTTCATGGTATCACAGTTTTACAGAATTTAAATGATCAGTCAGAATGACCTTTAAAGGAATGACAATAGAAGGCTTATTGTTGGTGAAACAAACATTTAATTAGTATAAGTGAAACTTGAAACAATTTTGTTATTGACAGTATGTGTAAAAAGTCTCATCTTGGAAAGTAACTAAAATAAAGGGGAGATTAAACGGCAGATTTCTTTAATATCGTAGATTAGCAAATGCACATGGTATGATAACCGCCAACTTTTACATCACAGTATACCTTGAAACCAGTATATTGCTGAAACCTTACTTGTAGCTGTCCTCCTTATTATTTCATTTCATTGTCATAAAAAATCTTTGGCCTGATAAAGATCTTAACTAAGGACTCTCTTGATTTATGTTCAGGTTATAATCCGTTGCACCTGGCTGCCAAAAACAATCACATCGAGTGCTGCAAAAAGCTCATTCAGGTAAGGTGGATAAGGTGTGATTTGTATCTCTATATTTGCTTCTTCATATCTTACAAGTTGCTGCAATCTATCAAACCATGTATTTTAAACACAGTATCGTCCCTCAGTCATAAAATTCTTCATGGTTTTGATTTAGTATGATAGCTGTGCAGTATTTTAGGTTCACTGAAATCTCTTCAAGATGTGTTGTACAAAAATAAGAGCTAGAAATATGGAGCTAAGAATGTTTAAATGGCAGAGCATCAGGCCACCCAGCAGGACTTCTCCTTGGACGCATTACTTCATGCAGCAAATAAGGAATGTGTGAAAGCAGGAGCATGAACCATATGAGGCATACACTCTAAATAGTCTCGCTATCTGTTCAGACATCTAAAACAGTTTCACTGCCTCATTTCTTCTGTCTGCTGATTGTGTGTGTGCAGATCAGCAGATCTCAGCAGGAGGAGACACACAGACTTTTCTTGCTCTGATCTGCTGACCCAACTGTCCCATGACAGTCTGCAGCATCTGGGCAACACACACCTGCCTGTTAACACCAATCTCAAGTCTGCTGGTACAAACAGCAGAAACATCTTTTTGCCATTTTGGTGCCAGCTCCTTAGAAAATAGACTCCATTACAATTATACTCTGATACTCCCCATGAGCATAAATGCAGCCACAATTCATTTTGAGTTTTGATAATTATCTGGACACATTTTGGGGCACGGTCAGACACATTATCTGAAAACTTTTTTAAGTCAGTCAAGGAAATATAAGAATTCACCTAACAGGCAGTAACTGGTAGTGATAGTAGTAGTAGTAGTAGTAGTAGTGACATGGTAGATAAGTGGAGTAACGTAGCAAAGCGTAACAAGCATTGCAATGTACTGCATTTCACGGACACACAAAAAGTGTATTTAACAGTAGTTAACAGTCAGACTCTCATTTCATAATCATTCATAATCCATGTATAACATTGATTTGCAGGTCTAACATGTTTCTGTTTCCCTTCCAGAGTAAATGTCCTGTCGATGCTGTAGACAGCTCAGGAAAGGCTGCTCTGCATCACGCTGGTAAGTGTCTTGGTGTCCTGAAAGTTAATTAAACAAACGTGCTTTTATCAGAGATTAGTCTGCTTAGACGAGAACGTGGGAAAATATCTTGTGTGATTAAATTTAAGCTCGGATTTTGTTTGGATGAAATCCTATACCATATCTGGAATGAAGTGATTAAAGGTGATTTCAGCCCAGTTTGTTTCAATCAAAAGTTCCCATAATACTCTAACAGGTTTATCTTCAAACCAAATACTGAGTGATCAGAAGGTTCTCACGGAGTCCATCATTTTTTCATTGCCCTAAAAATGTTTATTCAACATCATCTGCCTCCACTGAGTATGACAAATCTCTGAGCTTCTTCTCAGTTCATGTTACAATGCTGATGCTAGCTGACATTAGACTTATCATTATTTTTATTAGAGTTTTTATTTATTTATTTGTCAGTGTTGCACATTTAAAGTAGAGGCAATGGCTTACAAGTGTCATGTACTACAACATCACAAATCAGAAAGGGAGATATTAAATTAAATCCTCAACACCTTCGCGCTTTACTCATGATTGACTTTGTTTTATTTTATCCGCAGCTGCCAGTGGGAGCATCCAGACGGTCCAACTGCTGTGTGAACTCAAAAGTCCCATCAACCTGAAAGATGCAGTATGTACTTTCATTATTACTTCTACTCTCTGTCTTTCCCAGGCTTATTTTTCCTGGCAGGATAGTGAGGGGCTCTGAAACAGGATGAAGACCACAGAAATGCTCCATTCAGTCTCATTCATATTGCTTATTCCCAGAGAGGAATGTGTTCAAGGAAGGATGATCACTGTTTGTACGCTTTGGATTTTCTTTAAGATTTACCCGTGTAGTGGTTCTTTGTTTGCAACAGGATGCTCTCTGTATTTCTCTGCTGTGAAATATTTTATTTCCCGACTATAGTTTTGTCTGCGTCCCCTTAAGTGCTTTTTAAGTTTGTAATTTAACTGCAGTCATCTCTCACAGCTGTAAATCTACAATCTGAAGGATCCCCATTAACTGACATTTCCTCTCATTTGTCGTCCTCCGTTTAAAGATTGATTGTACATTGTGTGTGTGCATGTGCATGAATGTATGAATGCGTGTGAGGTAGGGGGTCAGTGTACTGTGGGAACTCTGCTCTCAAGCCGCAGACATGTGGTCTCCATTGCAGTGATGCTCCATGCCTGTGGTTTTTACCCAACTGGGCTGTGTGAGCATGATATTTTGTGTGTGTGTGTGTGTGTGTAAGTAATAGAAAAAGAGAGCAAGTGAGAGAAAAGAAAAAGAGAATGTGTTGCCCATTTATTTCCCTTTTTATTATCACGCCACGGCTGGCCTGTTGGAGATAAACACAAACACACACACACACACACACACAGAAACACAGTGGTCTCTTAGCCTACACCAAAGAAATTATATTTATTTCTAATTAAAATTTATTGCTGCCTCACACTTGTTTAAGCCTTTGACAAGTTGTATGTTGTGGCTTTGGAAACTGGTTCATGCTACCACTTTGTACCACTGGCTGTAAGGACTTTAAAGCTTAAGTATAGTGTTTCTGAAATCATGTTGCACTTGGAGCAGCCCCAACCAGCCTTTTTTTGTGACATTTACATGTGGTTTTCAAGCATGTCTTCCTGGTCAATCCAACAATTGTTAAGCATGTTTTTGTAGCTGAGAGACAGTGTTTTAGTGCTGTTTGCTGTTGACAGGAAAACAATATGTGATGTCACTCTCGTCAAACAGTGTTCATTTTTTCCAGCCATAACTATCTGCAAATGTGTGTGTGTGTGAGATGTGAGCAGGTCTGTCTGCTGTTAGCGGACATAAAGACTGAAAACCACAAAGTCGTCTGGAAAATATTCCTGTTTCAGTGCTGAGCAGAACATGCCAGCTTGTTAGTCTCGGGCATCCATCATGGCTGTAACAAATACCTATACGATGCAGAATGAAACTGTGGAACATCTGCCAGGTCTCACATACGCGGACAAAAAATGTTTAGAGAAAATCAAGTGAATGTAAACTTAAATTCTGCTCAGAGACAATGGTACTATGTAGCGTAAACGCTTCCTTATGTTCCTTATGCAGTTGGAAAGAAATATATTTCTCAGTTACTTAGAGAAACTCAGCCTTGACACAATTCAGACATGGCCTGGTTATTCTTTGGCATCCATGCATTTTGTTCAAGTGGGTTAAAGAGTCTTAGAAGACAACAAAAGAGACAATTTTGAATAAACATGATCCCATTTTCTTTACCCCAGAAGAGAGTCATGTCGCTGATGATATACAGACAACAATATGCAGAGTAGAGCCCCACTGATACTTGTTTTTCGAGGCTGATGCTGGTTTTGCTATATTTTTTAAAATCCCATAACAACGTATTTGCACATAGAAATTTGTTTAGTGGCACGGTGGTGCAGTAGTTTGCATTGTCACCTCACAACAGGATTCCTGGGGGAGCCCTTCAATGCAGAGTTTGCATGTTCTCCCTGTGTCAGCGTGGGTTTTCTCTGGGTACTTCAGCTTCTTCCCACAGTCTAAAGACATGCAGGTTAATTGATAACTCTAAATTGTCCGTAGGTGTGAATGTGAGTGTGAATGGTTGCCTGTCTCTATGTGTCATCCCTGTGATAGTCCTGTGACCTGTCCTGGGTGTACCCTGTCTCCCCATTGTCAGCTGGGATAGGCTCCAGCCCCTATCGATCTATCAGTCAAAATGTTACCAGTCATCTTAACTCAGCAGGGCTCAGGAGGAACGTCTTAACAAAAGTTTAACTCGGTACAGTTGCAGTGTGCTGTGGTCTGATTTGGAATCAAAGCCATGAGAGTCCTGCAAGACAAAATGACAGTATGCATGTGTGTTCTAGGCAGTATGGTAAAAGTTAAATTGGCATGAGTCAGTTCCAGGCTGGTCCAGTGGACATCCACATACCAAAAGTAGCTTGATGAGTGATTTTATAACTTTCCTCAGAAATGAAATACAAGTTGAGTGGTTTTCAGATGGAATTTTTAGCAATGATTTCCATCCTGGGAGTGAGGACCTCGTACAGAGTGGTGAGACACAATAGGAAAGAAGAAAAAGACATTTCTCTCACACAATTTTTCTTTATATTTTGCGCTTACTTTACCTTTTAGGGCTTCTTAGTGAAATGAAACAATCTGATCACTCTTTGTTTCAACAGTTCACAGCTCTTTGACATTTGCAGCATGTGAAGAGGGATCACAAATAGACATTGCTGCTTTTTATAAGGTCACGTGCTAAAAAGGTTGGGTTTATAGCAGCCTATTTCTCATTCAGCAGCACATGAAGTGATAGAACGAGCACAACAACCACTTTCATTTCCCCTCTCCCGTCAGTTTTTATGAGTAAGAGGTGGTATGAAAAAAAATGCCTTTCTAAAATAGCCTGTCACATGTTGTACTTATTAAATATACATTCACCAGGCTCTTATACATAGAAACACAAAGTATGTACAGTATTTGTGTCTATATTAGTAACCACGGAGAGAAGTTACAGTTTTAAAGCCAATTTCAGCTCCTCTAATCTGTGTTTTGGAGCCACTTTTGACAATTGAGTGTAATCCGCTTTAAACAGGGGCATGTTTGTGTGTGTGTTTGCGGTGATTGACAGGCCTCTGAAATGATCACACTTAGCTGTGATGCTTGCTGCTCCACGTCAGCTCTGCCCAGTCTTTACCTCGCTGCCCAAATTTGGTATTCTGGCTTTAAACTGACAAGATGACAGCAAGTTGTGAACGGAACTCAAATAACAAGTGTAGACAAACATTTATACACCTGCGCTCTTATATTCACCCACACAGACACTGAATCTATTACCCTGAGAAGAAAAACTATAATTCTGTCTTTTAGATTGCAGAGTAGGAGCAGTTCAGCAGAGACACAGACTGAGCAGAGCAGACACAGGGCTGTTAAAGTCTTCAGCAAAGCTCAGAGGAACCCACAACATAGTTTTGTTCTCTGTGGTGTGTGAAAGCTGGAGCCTTGTAATCTAAAACACAAAGCTATGCTGACAGACTTTACTTGTTTCTTGACATTCTTTCTTCTAGTTGTACGTGACTTCAGATTTATTTTTCCCTTGTTTAATCATTAATACATCATTCAATCAATCAGTCATTAATGAAAGATAAATCCAAAGTTAGGCTAATTAAACTTTGTATTATAGTTATTTTACTGTTCAACAAACATTTAAATGATAATAAGTAATGCTTACTAATTATAGGTAATAATATAATTTATGTAACAGTTGCTTTACAAAGTATTTAACAAGGTATTATATCAATCAGTTGCAACTTTATAATAGCGATCCAAATAATGTTAATAGATGGCTAACAAACCAACTACTTAACCACTAAAGTGTAATAAATATCTGGTCCAGTAATGTTAATAGATGTTTTACAAACAATTTTGTAAAGGTTTACAGATCACTTGTTGATCATTAGCAAATACTAACTATACTAACTAAGCCTATTTTCATTCACAGAGTGTCAAATACTGCCTCTTTAGTCCTGTTTCCACCAAACAATTTCGGTATGGTACCTTCTGAATAAAAAGTAACACTTCAGACATGGTACCTAGACCCTAGTGTTTCCACTGCAAACAGTACCCTTAAATGTGGGTGGGTTTGTTGTCACTAACTGCTCCTTCCAGCACTCACTGTATTTCCTCATTACTGGTGACACAGATGGAAGTCTGCACCTCGTTTATCGTTTAGACCTCTACATGTGATATTGACGCCAAATGCACCCATTAGCATCTTTATGAGAGGCATCGGACCTTCAGCTAACTCAGCTGTAAACTCACCTGAAGCAGTACCTGATGCTAAGAGCAACTGATGTAGCATAAAGAGCAAGAAAGTCTGCATAGTTTGGGAGTTAGGTGTGTGTAGTCTGTGATTTTAGACAGCATGCTGGCATCATGGAAGCAAAAGAGGCGTGACACGCGTGACATTTAGTGCAACAGCATGTGCCCCTCGTGTAACATGTAACATGTGTGAGCAGAGCTTTATGAACAAAAACAACGGCATAATGGGGCAAGAACATTCATTTAACTTCTCTGTTATACGGCAGCTGATCTCGTCCTCTGGAGTTCCTGGACCTCATTGTTTTTCTAATTTGCGGGCATTTTTGGCTGTTGTTCGTATTTGAGTTAGCTGCAAACTGCTATCAGCTCCTTTTAAAGTCTCCCACAGGAGGTAGCAGCTAAAACACGTAATCTGTGCTGCCCATGATCCTGTTCTGCAGGGCGTTCCGTTTATACAGACATTGCATAATTACGCATTTTACCTTTTATACAGAATGGCGAGGCAGCATAATGGCATGAAATCCCCGCCTTGAAGAGGCAGTGTAAAAGGGGCTATAGACACGATAAAGGGTGTCCTGTCCATTCCTATGAGACACTGAGGGTTGTGACAAAGTGCCTGTATTGGATGACCAGGGAATGAGAACAGGTTGAAGTGTTATAATGTCTGCAAGAATAAACTATAAATAGTTAACTAATTTAATCAGAATCATTGTTATTGTTACTAATAATTAGATGATAAATTATAATTTTATTGTTTGTCATCTGCAAAATAACTTAAAGTTGAATTAACTAATAATTTACCATTTACTAATGACGGATATTATAAAATGTTAACATCTATTCATACAGTTTTGATATTGAGTATTGAGTTTTCTAATGTCATCTTAGTGGAGAGGATGTTTGGGCAGCGGCTCCCATCAGTCTGTACACCGCCCTCCACAAGCCCAGCCAGTCAAATGTTTAGTTTAGATCGAGGTCAAAGATGGTTAAGTTTAGGTTAAATGTCATGCTTGGGGTTAGGATCTGTCAACCCGGGTGAAAAATGTGGGATTACGTTGGATATAATACTGCCTCAGTTGCCCAACTCAGGGCAACTTTACTGAGTCAGCCCATTCATTTAGAACAGCGAATATATCATTTCAGGGATTTTCCCCAAATCTACGCCTCTCCAGAAACTGGAACAGCTTTGACTTTCCTGTTTCTGTGCTGGGAAATTCATTTAGGAGACATTTCTCTCCTTTTTCACACGGATCTGAGATTTCTCTCACCACACAGACACTTAGGATACTTCATGTAGACCCACGTCCTAATGTCACATGTGATAAGTTATGTGTATTGTGTTAGTTTGTGGTCCCTCCATAGGATGATTTAAGTCATATCTAATGTTTATAATGTCTGTTTGTCCAAAAGGACGGGCTCACCCCTTTGCTGCTGTCAGCCAAACACGGTCATGCTGAGGTGTGCAGCGCTTTGCTGGACTGTGGTGCTGAAATCAACACTTCCGACAACAGTGGCAGGTACAAAAACGGTCAAGGCACACACTTGGAATTAACACAAAAGAAATTAAAAAATGAGCAGTGATGACTGAATAAAGTAGGGCTGTATTGAATGTCTTTTTTTGTGTGTTGCCTGATCTTAACTGCAACTGTACAGAAATACCAGGTTTAAAGAGAATGAATAGACATTAGACTTAGTCCCAGATAAAAGACACTTGTGTTTCTGGATGATGGATAGATGTTGCGTTGGTGATCATTATTTGTTCTGTTTGTGTTGCAGGACAGCCTTGATGCTGGTCAGCGAGTCCAACGCTGTTTCAGTTCTTGAAGTCTTGGTTCAGCGAGGAGCAGATCTGTCGGCTGTAGATTCACAAGGCCATGATGTCTTACACTACGCCAAGCTGTCAGGCAACACTGAGGTCAAAACTGCCCTCACTGCTGCCCTGAACAGACAACAGGTCCCAGGTAAGACTTATGCTAAGTCACATAAACACACTCACTGTGTGATCATGGAGGCAGCAGAGGGTGAGTGTTAGTGTGTATCTTCACTATTTGGACAGTATTATTTATGACCAAAAGCCCACACACTTGTTTTATGACTTCAGGACATTGCATTGACTCACATTATTTCTCTGGAGACTTACTCAGAGCTTCACCACCCTAAGCCTGATCTCAGAGCCTAACTCAAACATTCACCAAAAAATGTGTGAATATTTAATGGTTGATCTTGTGAGGATTTCTCTGCCCCAGATGAGAGTCGAGTCCCCATAATGCCTCTTTTTAGATCTTTGTCCCCCCAATATGATCACCAGTACATGCATACACATGTATTGCCACTGTGTGGTGGAGAGTTGTACTGCTCTGGTTTCAACAGAAAGTCAACACTGACATCTGGAGGAGGTCTCCTGCTAGTGTTTTTTTTTTTTTTTCCCCTTCCAGTTTTTGGTGTAGGCTCTTCTGGTTGTGTGACAGGGTTCTCATGGTACATTGAAAGAGCTTGTGAATGTACATGAAAAAAAAATCGAAAAAATGCACTTGAATTAAGGTTAAAAAAAACAAAAAAAAAAAACAACCTTCATTCAAAAAACATGGCTACCAACTTTATAAAATGCTTGCTTGACTCCTGTCCACTCTCTTACACCCTTATGAAGACCTTAGGGTCGAAACCAGTTGGTGCTTTAATCTAAGCAGACATTTTTTTTTAATAAAGGCTTTTTAACTCAAGCCTTTCTCTCTCTTTTTAATTGTTGTCTGTGAGCTTGTGAGTCTCAGTTTGTAATAGTAATCAAAGTTTGGTGTGTTTGGGCCTTGAATTTGAGGGCTTTGGGCCTGGAAAGTCCTTGAATTTGATGTTTAAGTAGGTGTGGAAACCCTGCTATGAATGTGATGTCACCTGTAGTAAAAAGCGTAAAACCTCTAAAGAGAAAGCTTTAATCATCACTTCATTTTGTTTGTGTCCATTTTTTGATGTTCTTTCCACCTCCTTTGACAGATGCGAAGTCTCCTAGAAGTCCCCAGGTAACACACCAGCCTTGTTTTTCATACATTTCTTTGGAGGTCTTCACAAACAGTCAATCAAAGTTACTATAACACTTGAACTTATACCAGCCAATTAACCATTGATAGTAAGTTTAAATTTGTTTTTAGGACTTCATAGTGAGAAAAGAAAATTAAGCCAAAACTTTTTACTGTGTATCTACAACTCATGGATTGTAGTTTAGTATCAGCTTTTCTTATGTGTCAAAAATCTTTTGGTTTGTTTTTGGAAAACAAAATTGAAGTCCTAGTGTAGCGCTCATTGATTGACCCTCCTCTTACTAACCAGCACTGAATCCCTCCTTTCTTTTTCTCTCTTTCCATTGCCTTTCTTCTCTGTCTCTTTGCTGGCTCCTCAGCATGATCAAGTAGCTAAACTAAGTGATGAACGGATCACAACTCCCAAAAAACGAAAAGCACCTCCACCTCCTATTAGCCCACTGCAGGTAAATGCATGTCTCTCTTTGTATCTGTCTGCTTGTACCAGTATGCCACCCTTTATATTAATGCATGTCTGCAGTGTATTCATAAAATGAGAAGTCAGACCTGTATGTGTCTGTTCTGCTGACACTTTATCTGTTATATTATTGTTCTGTCCCGCCAGAGTATAACAAAGTATTTTACTCATTTAGTATGTTCATTTAATGTATGTACTAATCTGCCTTTTGTTTTCCAGAGTTTGGGATTTAAAAAATGTTCTTCAAACATCTAGGGCACTTGTTATACTGTATGGGACACTAACATTTTGAATCTTCATTACTGGGGGGTTTTGTACCAACAGATTATAAACACACTGCACTCATATTTTAAAAGATTCTTCAGAACAAATGCTTAATTTTCTCAAACCAAATCATTACAAGGGTTTAAGAGGGAAAGGAATTGAAAAAATAATCAACTTCATCCTTCTTCAGAGCTCTGGACCCTCCTCTCCTTCAGTCCTCACCTCCGCTGGGACCCCTGTATCCAACAAAAGTGATACTCCCAAAAGATTCAACTACAAGGTAATAAAGTAACAAAAGTCAACATGTGAGGGGTAACGTAGAGCAAGCAGGTCATTATTGTGATATGAACCCCGACAGGGTGATGCAGGACTTTGTAAGTAAAAAATAAAAGCTAAATATAACAATAAATAGACAGAGTGGCAGAATTTACATTATTCTATCGATCAAGAGTATCAGATAGTTCAGTTGTTATATACAGATATTGCACGAGTGATGACATTATGGTAAAAACTTTAACTTACATATGAAATGATACACGAGAAATGAAAAGGTGTAAATACACAATTAAGTATAAATTATATTTATAAGTAGGTTACATCTCAATTTACAGTTAGACATGAAAATCAGACAACAAAAAATTTTAAGAAAACAGATATAAAAAGTACTCTACATTGTGAGGTTAACCGCTCTTTAAAAATATTAAATATAAGTATTTGTAAAATAAGAACAGGTGGAAAGCAGCATAATCATCTCTGATAAAAACAGCACTGGACATTTTCCTGTATTATTTAATAAATGTTAACTTAGTCTTCAGGTGTGAGATGGTGGTTGAAAACATGCGACATGCCTAATTTCCACTCCAGAGGGAGACATTTTGTACATGATTAACTTAGTATTCATGATATAGTAGCATCTTGTGTGCTGATGATGTGCTAAATTCTTGCCTCCAACGTTTCATTCCCTTTCCCCTCTCACCTTTACTCTTTGTCCTCCCTGTCCATCTTTCGCTCTTGTCCCCGCCCACACCCTTTTCCCGCCACTCCTCCTTTTTCTCATTTCGAAGGAGGATGAGTTTAGAGGAACGGCGCTGAGAGAGGAGGTTGAGAAGCTCCATGAGGAGAGAAACATGTTGCTGGAGACAATCGAAGACCTGAAGCAGTCGGTGGAGCAGACGGTGACTGGTCCTGAACTGGATACAAAGGTGACTAATGACTGTATTTATGTTACAGATGAGCACATTTATAAACAGATGTGGTGACTAACTGTATCAGTGACTGACGTCAGAGCTTTAGTTTATAGAGTAGAGCACAACACATGCATTGAATATACTTAATGTGTAAAATTATTGTTAATAAATCACCAGGTAAAATGTCTTTGTATTTGGATGAAGATAATTTAAAAGGTTTTGGGCTGGATATAGAGATATTTTTACTTTTCTTAATTTAGTTTTTTCTATGTATCGTCAGTCTTTCTGGTTGTTAAAATGTGTAAATCAATACGGCTTTGTCAATGTAATTCTACACTCTGACAACAGCTGCATACTGCTGAACCTTTTCACCTTGGGCATTCTTGGAGGAAGTCTAACCTAAGCTTTAGACGTGTCACAACCCGTTTTGTTTTTCAGGAGGTAGCAAGTGGTCTTAAACATTACTTTTCTGTCTGTGTGCTTCTGCCTGCGAATGTATGTGTTGACAGGTCGAGCAGACTTTTACAGCATCTGCAGCTCTGGTTTCTGTTCTGCAAGCCAAGATTAATGCTCTTACTCTGGAGAATCAGCAACTTGCAAGCAAACTCAAGGTATGTAAGCCATTCATTCACGCTCATGAGTTAACCATAAACCAATGAATGAACGCACTCAAGGTGAGGGCAGCATACTATATACATAAGCTAAGCAAATGCTGCACAAATGCTTAATGTGAGTGACAGAGAACCTAAACTATAGCAAAAATTCATTTAAGACTTTCTAATGTTCTGTTTCTATGTAAATGTAACAAGGCAATGTACAAATAATGTAGTTACTATATATCAGAATTGCAAAAAAATACATAAAAGTACCATTATAAGGAAAATAAAATACAAGGTAGGTACTAGGCTTGGGCTGTATGATTTTTGGGCTGTCTTGGTTAGTCAATGTTTGTTAGATGTGAAAATATACTGGCCCCAAATGCTGCTTTTCCCCGCTGGCTTTTTACTAGTCATGTAACTAGGGATGTCAGTGGTTATCTGTAAAGAATATTTGAGTGGGAATGAATGCCAGACTACAGGTTACTTTGCTACTCTTTAGTTTACTGCAGTGCACACTATACGGGTCTGGTGCAAGCTAGCTAGCAGTGCTGCTCATTCTGCACTTACCTCTAGTAATGCTGTCCCGACCAAACAGAGTTGTGAAAACATTTTGCCCACCCTCCAGTCTCCCCCAGGTCCCCCCTGTAAGTAAACGAATCAATTTTGAGCCACAAACCCCCTTTAGCATTGTTAACCACCAGCTTCTCTGTCAGCACTGCTAGTGGTGCTAACATAGCTAACAATGCTAAAGGGTTGTTGTGGCTCAAAATGAAGCCATTTACTCACTGGGGCTACCTGGGAGGGGACCGGAGGGTGGCCACCATGTTTCCGCAGCAATGCCATCCAGCATTATCATGAGTAAGCAGCACCGCTAGCTCCCACCCAACCGGTGGTGTGCAGTGTAGAGCAGGCAAGGTCAGCGGGCACTGTGTTTCCGCGTGTTAACGCAGCTAGTTGCCTGTCTGTCTGTCAGCAAAGCAAACAAAATAAAATATTACCATGTCAAATGGATAGCTCTTTGAAAAGCATTGCTAAAGCTCACTAAATCAGTGGAACACTGAACTATAACATAAGGCCTTGTTTTCAATGTCGTTTTTGTGTTTTTTTCTTTAAAATGAACCAGTAAGTTACCAATTAATGGGCATTGCACTTTAAAAGCAAAATTAACTGAAACTGACCTCCCTGTAACGTTATCCACACCACTTGCAGTAGCTGTCTTCCTCAGCTCAGCTGCCTGTTCAATCAGTAAAGACTGACCTCTGGTGGCACGGGCTGTGCACTGCATCACCTCAGAATCTCTGTATCAGTTTAATAGAAAGAGAAGCATCTATACTTTTGACAGCAGTGAAAATCATACCATTGACATTTCTTTATACCCTGATATACCAAAATACTGCTCAAGCCTAATAGGTACAAATCTTTAACTTTGTCTTAATTAAAGCAGTACTCACATGCCCACATGTACATTTAAAGACTTATTGGTCACTGTAATCATCTCTCATGTCCATACTGGCTTTGAAGAGATCCCCTTCTAATGCGATTCAAGTGTAAGTGATGGGGGGAACAAATCCAGTCCTTGTACTCGTTGTTTTCTTGATTAATCGCTTATTAAATGTCAGAACATAGTGAAGAAAAAGTTAAAATTTCCATAACTTGTTTTCTATTCAACTGACAAGACAAAACCCAAAGATATTCCATTTACTATCATACGAGAAACATACATTTCTGCTTGAAAAATTACAAAATGACAATAGTTGCCAACTAATTTTCTGTCACTTAGTTGATTGTCACAGCTCTACAAGTGTCTATAATGAAAAAGCAAAAAACAATCACATAAAAAATGATAGCCATGAAGGTGTAATCCATGATCCAATATTTAAGCAAATTAAACCTAACCCATCATAAAAATAGCAGAAATTTAATAATAATAAACTTTATTTCTATAGTCTTTTTCTGAACCAGAGTTTAAGTGCTTCACAATACAATAGCCTGCAATTTAAGACAAAGAAATAAAGGAGCATAATTCACAGAAAAGCAATTAGTTGAAACTATCAAACTAGTTGATTTACAGAAAATTGGTTGGCAACTATTTTAAAAATCAATTAATCACTTGAGTAATTTCTGTAAGTGAAAATGACAAACGGAATGTGAGAATTTGCTGCTTTTCTTGTTCCTCTATGTAATGAGACACTTTAAAACACAAAATTTTAACCCGTACAAGTGGTCGGTGCTTTGTTAGTGAGATTTCTATTTTTGAATCCCTCACCTTGCAGAAACATCCTTCCGTCCAAGGAAGTGAGGACACCAGTCGTCCAAACAGCATGGCCTCCAACTCCTCCTTCCACTCCACCCAGGATGAGTTTGAGTCACTGCCACAAGTGGAAAAGGAAGATGGTCCAGGTGGTGTTTCTGTCAGACGAGAGGAAGAAGAGAGTGAAGGAGGAAGCAAAGACGAGATCAGACTGTTGAGACAAGCGCTAGAGAGCGTTCAGGTGAAACTGCTAGAAACCAGGAAGGAAAACCGCTCACTTCAGGCCCAGCTGAAACCTGAACTAGGCAGAGAAAGGGAGGAGGATGGAAGCGTGAGGGAGAAAGGAAGAGAGGAAGAGTTGATGGAGAGTCTTGCAGAGCTTCAGGCGAAGCTGACAGACACTCAGGAGAGATACCACCAAGCTGTGGAGGAGGTGGAGGATCTGAGGGTGCGGATTGGAAAGGGAGAAGGTGAGCTGACAGAAAAACAGGAGGTCCAGAGACTTACATCATCTGCACTTGAAAACGAAGTAAAACAGTTGAGGGCCCTGCTCGCCCAATCTGGATCTGAGCAAGAGAACGCAGCTCAACGCATCAGACAGCTGGAGGAGGCGCTGAGGAGGGTGGAGGAGGAAAGACGGAGTGTCAAGGAGAAAGAACAGAGGACTGCACAAATTGAGGAGCTGTACAAGGAGGCACAAGAGGAGATTAGGATGCTCCAGGTGAGTATGGGCCTCTTTTTTCTTTCTCTTGGACTGAAATGGGACTTCACTGATTTTACACACCAAAGTCTGAACAACTGCAAATTAAGGCTGGGCCAAAAATTATTTTGTGATATTTTTAGGCTCTATCACGATACACTTTATAGATCTAGACACTACCAAGATACATTACTAAATAAAGTACTGTTACAATAAAGTTTAATAAAGTACTGTAATAACGTTAAAATATATCCTGTTACACTATAGTTTAATAAAGTACTGTTGTAATGAAATAAATCAAAGTGGAACCACTGGTGCTCTTATTCTGAAGCACCCAGCTTGCCTTGGGCTGAAAGGTGTTGATGTTTTGCTGTGAGCTTCAAGCTTCCACTCTACACTTGGGTTGCACTGCAGGTAATTTAGGCACCGTGTTTTGACAAGGAAGAAATATGTGTGGAATAAAAACGACATATCTCTGTTTCTGCTGCATTGCCTTTGATACCTATTTTTTCTATTCATTATTATTTTGTCTTACTGTACTTCACTTACTTGAGTTAAATTAAGTATTACATTTTGTCTCATTAATTTGTCCCTTCCTGTTGTTTAGGAGGCTCTGAGAGGCACAGTGCCAGTTGAAGCTGCAGCCAAAGACTTTGAGGAGATGAAGGCTGAGCTAAACGAGGTAATCGCAGGGCTGCAGCGCCGCTTGCTGGAACTCTCACACTCCTACAGTGAAACCAAGAGTCAGCTAAGTGCTGCACAGAAGCAGCTGGCTGAGAGCAGCGCAGCCTCATCTCCCTCCTCAGAGCAGCAGCAGCTAAACAGCAAGCTGGAGGAGCTGCAGACATCACTAGCTGAGACAGAGAAGAAGCTCGCAGCTGCTCAAGAGGAGATTTCACTCCTGAAGCAGGAGGCAGAAGCTCAGGCACAGAGCTCCGTGTCCCTCGCTGACCACACTCAGGTGATGTCATCTCTGGGAAATGCCATCAAAGAGTTGGAGAGCCAGACAGAGGCCCTGAAAGAGCAGCTACACCAGAAAGTCTTGCAGGTGGAGGCTCTTCAGAGCAGGTGAGGAGGAAAACTGTGATGTCACTTGCAGTTTATAGATGCATCTTAGACTATAACTAGAGGCCTTTATGCTAGTTTGTACTCCTACTCCACTACGTTAACGAGGAAAACATCGCACATAACTCGTTTACATTCCAGTGTGTGGAGGCTAAAAGGCTAGATTAATATGAAAACAATTTCTCCTACTGAAGTGAAGGGTTTATCAAGGTCACCATGGGATTCTTGTGTCTATTTCACCAAAAGGCTGACAGCAGAGAAAGATGTTACCTCAGATGATTCAGTCTCCCGTGTGGAACTCGAGACAGCACGAGAGCAGCTGGAGGGTGAGGTGAACCACCTGACGCAGCTCCTCCAGGAGGCCCTCAGGAAGCAGGACGAGATGGCTCTGGAAGCTGCTGATGCATGGCAGAAGGTGAGAGGGAGGAGGAGCCCCAGAAGAGGATAAAAACCAACCTTTAAATGTTGACTGTTAGTCTTTCCATACAGTGCATTTCTTAAAACTTACCTATCTTCTAGGCACGGGATAATCGAGCAGAGCGGGAGGCCCTGCAGGAGCTGGTGATGTCCAGGGAGAAGGAGAACCAAACTCTCACCACGAGGCTGGCTGAGGCCCAGGATGCTGTGTCTCAGCTGAAACAGCTGGTGGAGAACCACACTGCCTCAGAGAGAGAGAAGAACAAGAGGGTCAGTAATCATCTGGTTGACACTTCAGAACCACATCACACTACACAACATTTTTGTCCTGCAGTCACTGTGTCAGATTACATGATGGTGAAGTCATAAAATTGTGCCGTGACTTGGCCGACAGACAGGACACACTACACGATAGTCCACACCAATCATCCCCAACATGTGTGATGTCATCAGGTTATTCTTGTCCTATTTTTATTATTATTACTATTATTTTAGTCACTGTTTCTGTTCATGTGCCAGCTGAAATGTTATTGTAGTAACATAAAAAGCACCACCAGATGGCAGGAGCTACACTTGAACTTAAATTAAAACCCTGTTCTAACTTTGGTTGAGAGAATCCCTTCATTTTATAAAACAGGCTTTTATTGTGAAACATTTGTAAGAACTTGTTGTGGAGGATTCAGTGACTTGCATGTTTGCATGTGGTACTTCAAATGTAGCTCCTGCCATCTGGTGGTGCTTTTTACGTTACTACAATAACATTTCAGCTGGCATGTGAACACCCACAATTAGGGCTGGGCGGTTTTCGCGGTGACGGTAACTTACCGCAGTAAACATGAGCCATGGTACTGCTTTTGTGGTTACCGTCATACTGCAGTACTCCAGCTACAGCAGCAGAACGGGGCCCGGCCTGCCTCACGCACCTCCTTCGCTACATGATGGAGGTGGCCTGGCCGACCACACCAAAGCCGGGCCCGGGAGCCGCTGGCCCTCCCTCTTCCCTCTAACGTTTATACATACTATATAACGTTTAATACACAATAATAGATGGATTAGCAACCCTTTTACTTCTGACGATAAATAGGTTCCATCCTAGACTTGTATGGCTTTTTAAATTGTTTTATTTAAGGTGTAAAAAAAGAAAGAGAGAAGACGATAACACGATATCATACCGTCACCGCATCCCCCCAAAATAATACCGTGATATTGATTTTAGGCCATACGGCCCAGCCCTATCCACAATCGCCTAATGTGACATAGTGACTGTCGGAACAGACAAAAATGTCGTGTAGTCTGAACCAGGCATTAGAAATTGGTTGTGATGTATTTTTAGACACTGGTCAACCTAAACCCGAGACAGTCCAATCAGGGCTCTGTTATCAAGCTGTAAATGAATTGTTTCATTACCTGCATGTTTTATGTTTTCCCCCTTCAGATAGATGACCTGTCACGGGAGGTTGGAAAGCTGAGGGACGCCTTAAACAGCCTATCACAGCTCTCCTACAGCTCTGGTTCTCCCTCCAAGAGACAGCAGCAAAGCCAGCAGCTGGAGACATTGCAGCAACAAATCAAACAACTGCAGTACCAGCTAGCTGTAAGATTGGATCAACATATATTTTTTTAGATAGAACACTCAATAATTCCCATTTTAAAACACACAAGCAAACTGTGCTTTGAGTGCTTAAAAGTGAAGGTGAAAAAATTTGTATTTACCTCATGTTGTCTGTGCAGGAGTCAAAGAAGCAGCACCATGAGATCGTGTCAGTCTACAGGATGCACCTCCTCTATGCTGTCCAGGTAAATACATCCACGTGATTGCCTAAAGAGTGAAAGTTAAAGGTTAAGTTTTGTAACCTGGACCCTATTTTAACATGTTTTAGTGTCTAAGGAACAACAATTTTTGAAAATGGTCCAATATTGAACAAGACACAGTGTCTGTAGGTCCTTAAAAGTCTTTATTTAATGGCTTTTAAGGCCTTATTGTTGTAACATTGAATTTAAGACATTTAGTCTTAAAGGAGCTATATGTAAGAAATCTAAAGCAAATAGTCATAAAATCCTCCTAATATGTCACAGAGACTAAGGAATAATGTTCATATAACATACTGATCTCACCGACAACAATAGTACAGCCAGAATATTCGCATTTAAAAAAATATTTTATGGTCCGCAAATCATGTTTGAATTTGTGTTTTGGCCTGTTGCGCCACCCACCGCCGTCTACCAGTCACACAGTCAGTAGAGTCTCAGCATCAGTTACAGTTACGACTGAGCTACAGCAGCACGGCAAGCAGCATTAGCAGTGTCCCAGTACATAGCATTAGCAGTCTCCTCAGCTGTATCCCGGCAGCAGCGTTAGCAGCAGAGAAGCCGGACTTGCTTGAACGGTCTTCTGGAAAATCGTAGATCAATGACTCTGCTATTTTGCCCTGCCACGGCAGCTGCCTTTGGGCTAACAAATCAGTCTCCAGCGTGCCGCTGTCCAGCAACCTCGAATCTGTAGGGGAGGGGGGGCGGACACGACTTGCGGCAGTATTTTGAATTTGAGTGCAGTAACTGTTTTGGCCACATTCTTACATACAGCGCCTTTAAATTTGAATTTGTGAAGTCTTTACTACTACATTACAAATCATTCAAAAACTATAATACTGTCAATTTACTTCATACTTGCACTCATCTGTTGTCTAAATATAGATTGACTTAACTCACTCTAATAACCATATTCCTACATAACACTCACCTCTGTACAAGACCACATATATACTACTTGCCTGCAATGCTTAAAGTAAAACATGATTTGTCCAAAAATCTGTCCTAAATTTGGTGAAAAGGTGTCTTGAACGGGTCTTAAAAAGCATTAAATTTAACTGTCTGATACCTGTAAAAACCTTGCAAGAGCACTGCAGAGGCCTGTAAGTTTTTCACTTCAAATTTTAAAGGAGTGGTTGTGGTATCTAACCATGCAGACAGTATTGGGTTAAATTTTTGTCCTCCATCCCAATACAATGAAGGTGAGTGGCAATGTATTTGAGGAGCTCACAAAGACAGAAAATGTCTTTTTAAAATACTCTACAGCATATGGGATAATCCCTTTGGTAGAAATTAGTTCCGGTGGAAGGGGTTTACAGTGAGATCTGTTAATGTTCACTACAAACAATTACATCCACCTTCATTTTACTGGTGTGGCAGCAGAAGACATCTTAAAGCCTGGACAAACCAACTGAAAAGTGTTTTTTTTTTTTTTGTGTGTGCCCTCAGGGTCAGATGGACGAGGATGTTCAGAAAGCCTTAAAGCAGATCCTGATGATGTGCAAGGTGCCAAGCCAAGCCAAGGAGGCCTGCTAAGACACGCTAGGCCTGGTTTCCCAAAAGCATGTTGTGAACGAAACTGAAGTGAACTGCTGCTGTCACTACACGTTCTGTCGTCACAGTTCACACGTTGCTTGTGCTGATTACAAGTAAGGCCAACTTATGGTGCCTCTGGATGAACCTTAAGTATTTGTTGATGAGGAGTAGGTTTACAATCATGTTCATTGCCTTTGCTAATGTCAGGACCAAGTAAGATCCAAAGGTCATCAATGTTATGATGGAAGATGTTTTTGGGAAACCTCAGCCAGTTGACCGTTCACATGAATAAATGAACCAAGTGGTTCCAGCCAAACTTATAATCTCAGTATGTGCATGTTAACACTACACTGTCAATGTGCAGTAACCTTAAATCACATGCAGTTGGACAAGCGTGAAACATACATGTATGTGCGCACTAATCGGTCCACTGAAAACAGTGCGTTTGATGTGGTTTGTTTCTGTTACAATGTGCGCTTAGAGAAATAAAAGACTTGCTGCTGTTGGTAGTATCTATTTTATGATACAACAGTGTTAGTATTATTTTACTTGTTGTCTAAAGGTTTCATAGTGGTCGACATTTTCTCGATGCAATCTAAATTATTTGTGCCCTCTCAACAATGCATGCTCAACGCCAGCCCAAATATTGCATAGAAATGTTTTTCTGGCCGCACTTCTATGAAGAAAATGCATGATACTGTTTGTACTGCTATTTTCCTATCAGCACAAAAATTTATAAAAATGTATTTTGCAGAATTGTATTACCATGCCATGTTTTCTAAGATACTGTACTTTAATGAAGAGGTTTGATAGCTGTATTTTTGATGGCCTTGTTTTGTGTTATGTGTGAATGAAATTCCTTTTCCCCTGATTATAACAACGCACTAATTGGTCTAGTGACACCTGAATTAGCTTCCTGTTATTCTGTATTAAAAAATATCAGTTGTAACAAATGCCCAGCAGTATGGGCTCAATATTTTTGTCTTTGACTCAGTGGATAGTAAGTTAGGAGGGAAGATTTTTACATTTCTCTCCTCTTGTCTAATCTTACATTTTGGTCTTTTGTTTAGAAATTCCTTACTTGAAAAGCATGCAAAATGTGTTGGCTGAAAGCAAATGGTTGAGTGTGCCGTCACACGTCTGTCTGCAGTACTTTCACCTGAGAATTACCATCAAATATCACAGTTGTTGTAGATGCCAATTTCAGCAGGCTTCCTTATTAATTTATTTACATTTACCAGGAATGTTTTTTTCTGTCTCTCTACTTGTGATACTCCCATCTCTCTTTCAGTGTTTCTTTGTAGGTACGGATTTACACTGTACAGAATACATTTTAAATGCATTTCTCTGTCCTCTACAGGCGTCTGAACTGTTGTCACATCACACTCCTTTGCCTTAGTACTGTACTCAGAGCCATACGCACTTAGATAATCACCCTTCTGTACAAAGTCTGAGATTATTGACAACACACACCCAACACTAACGCTGATAAACTTGACTGACTGAAGCTACCACCCTCGTCTCTCACTCAGGAACTTTTGTACTGAACATGATTCACACCTGACTGAGCTTTGTTAGACCCTGAGTAGAGCTTTGGCTTTATATCATAGGTTGTAGAACATCATCAATGTCTCTCCCTTTCTCTCTAGGCCTTGACTGAAATGTTTTGTAACAAGAAAGGGAAAAGACAGAAACAGCTCTTCTGTTGGTTGTTTCCTCTCTAACGGTTTTGTAGTGACATGAAAAAAATGCTCGTTTGCCAACTGCTTTTTGCCCACATTAATAAATTTTCAAGATACTGTACCAGCGTGTCTCAGTTTTGGTTTTCCTCTTATCAAAACATATGGAAATGGCCTCATTATTGTAAGAAACGTAACATTAATTAATTTGAAACCGTAATGGGACGGTTCACCCAAAATCAAAAAATGTTTTTTTTCCATTTCCCTGTAGTGCTGTTTATCAGTCTAGATTGTTTGGGTGTGAGTTACAGAGTGTTGGAGATATCGGCCGTAGAGATGTCTGCCTTCTCTTGAATATAATGGAACTAGATGGCACTCAGCTTGTGGTGCTCAAGGCACCCTAAAAAATACATTTGGAAAAACTCAACAGCAATGTCTCTCTCCAAAAATCCTGACCCGATTACTCAAGATAATCCACAGACCTTGTTGTGAGCAGTTTCATGTAGGAACTATTTTCTTTCGACTGAGTTTCACCCACCAACTGTATCAGCGTGTAGAAGGAAGTGTGCATCTACTGCTAGCCGAGGAGTATGCCATTAATGTTTACTAGTGCTGTCCCGAATACCAGTTTTGGGACATCGAAGCTTTGTTGAGAAACATTTGCAATTAATCAATGGACATAAGTTACCATGGCAATGATCAAAGCTTCAAAGCATTCAGGTCAGCCTTAATGTCAACATCTTGTGCTGTCAGTAGCATGAGCCTCTATCCATGAACTATACCCGCCAACTTTATCACCATGCAGAAGGAAGCATGCATCTACTCATGGATGAGTCTTGTGCTCGTGATAGCGCAAGAGGTAAACATTAATGGCGTCCGCCTCAGCAGAGTTGTAATCTCAGCGAGTTCAGTGGTGATAGGTGAGTTAGTGGTAGATGCACATTACCTTTTATGTGGTGATGTGGTAGTTTGGAAGACAAAATAGCTCCTACATAAAACTGCTCACAACAAGGTCAGTGTTTGATTTCTGGAAAGAGACATTACTTTTTTTGGTGCTTTGAGCACAATAGCCAAGTGCAATCTAGTTCCATTATACTGGAGAGAAGACAGACATGTACAGTTGACATCTCCAGCACTCTGCAACTCACACCAAAACAATCTAGATTAATAAACAGCACTACAGGTAAGAGGGAAAATATGTAATTTTGATTTTGGACTTAACGGTCCCTTTTACAGCATTTAACATAAAATAGGAAGTGACTAAATTAATTAAGTTTTTGTTATTGTGTCATAAATACAACTACAGTGCACTGAAGGACACCTTAAACAGCCGATCACAGCTCTCCTACAGCTCTGGTTCTGCCTCCAAGAGACAGCAGCAAAGCCACAATGCCACACAAACATTTTCAAACAACATTGCTCTTCTTTGAGACAAAGTTCAGCTACAGCCAACTCAAACCCATCAAAACATAGCAACTGGTCCACAACATACCATAGTGCAAACACTTTAAATCGCCACAGTATGTCCAACACAAAAGAAAATGGGACAAACCTCTCCTAAATCACACAGCTCACATGATCTATTTTCCTCCTGAATATTTTTATAATCTGCCAATCTCAATGGTCACAGGAACAACACCAGGATCTCAACTGTGCAACAAGATACAACAAATGATTCAGGGCTTTACATCACATGGAGATTTCCAGCAAAGGTTTTACACTGCAGAATAGCTACCGCTCCACCCGGCTCAGTCTTGGCAAGGTGCTGAAAACATCAATGAGTCCAGATTAGTAGAAAAAGATTTCCGCACACTTCCATCTATGCAGTGTCTCACTTTACTGCTGAGCTTTCTGTCTATTCGACCTTCATCAGAGCATACATGAGGCAACAATGGACAGGCTGGTAAGAGTACCTAATCTCAGTCTAATCAATGGCTGTATGCAATACACCTGTGTGCAACCCTGGTGGTAGGAGCTCCACCTTCTGGGAGTTGTAGTTTTTTAAATACTGGACGGCAAACTGAAAGGCATACAAATGGAAGCCATATTTGTCTTGTCATACAGTACCACAATATAGAACAAGGATGGAACACAATGATAACAGAAAAACCATTCATAGTGTAGTATGTTGTCCAAAACCACGAAAAAAAAGGCATAGTATAGTATGTCCTCTTAAAAACAGGAATAAAGTCATAGTATAGTATGTCGTCCAAAACCATGAAAAAAAGGCATAGTATAGTATGTCCTCTTAAAAACAGGAATAAAGTCATAGTATAGTATGTCGTCCAAAACCATGAAAAAAAGTCATAGTATAGTATGTCCTCTTAAAAACAGGAATAAAGTCATAGTATAGTATGTCGTCCAAAACCATGAAAAAAAGTCATAGTATAGTATGTCGTCCAAATCGTGAAAAAAAGTCACAGTATGGTAGGCCCTCTTAAAGAACAGGAAAAAAGTCATAGTGTAGTATGTCGTCTCAAAACCATGAAAAAAAAAAAAAATTATTTTGATAAACATCTTGGATTTCAGCATCGTATCAAAATCCTAATGAAGGCCTGTAGGCTGAAGTGCATCTAAAGTGTCAATCCAGAAAAGCTCCCTTTGGCATATCTTTCTGCCTTAATGTTGGCCCTCACAAGCTTATTGCTTAAATTAGGACCTCTTTTATAGATAAAGAGGGGAGGATCCTTAAAATCCTGGGCTAATCCTTGATCAGAGGCTAAAACAGGCCAGTATTTTAGAGTAGCCTTCTTCAGGATATAGGTCTGAGGAATGTAAGTGGTGATACAGGAGACAGAGTAGCTTTTATCTTTTTTGACACTTTTGTAAAAGATTGTAGCGGGATTTAGAGAGTGTAACTTTCAGAATTTGGGATCTATGATTTATGATGGTTCTCACCTCAGCAATAAAGTGGAACATTTCATAGATGTAAGTGTGCAGAGATCTTTTTCTACCAGCAACGGTTTTATGAAGCTGAATGTCTAATGTAACAAAGACAAACACCTCTATTTGACCCAAATGGGCTGAAAGGTTTCTTTGTTCATCTGAGAGACTTTGTTAAATTAATTATCAGAACAAGAGCAGAACGAGACTGAACAGGCGATAAATGACCACTAGATGGCAGCCTCTGCCAGAATTGGATCTCGTAACTCTCCCATAGGGCTGACCTGCTCACACACTAGACAGAGGGGGGACAAACTGTAGGCAAAAACTGGATCATGACATGAAATGGGTGTGAATGAGTATGAAAATTCTGAAGTGAGAGAAAATTCTGTAATGGGGTCATCACAGTCACTAAATCTTTGCCTAATTGAACACTTTAGGGATATTTAGGACTGACATGTTAGGCAGACTCTCCACCGCCATCATCAGAGCACCTAATAAGGAAATACCTTTATACAAACAGTGTTTTAGTCCTCCAGTAGCTTTACATAGATTTGTATCTGGTGGCTCGTGGTGGTCCAACTTCCTCCAACGTCCATTTTATCCATTTTTCTTTAATTTGTCCTCATATACGTGATATATATTGTTCAGTTTCTGTTTTCATTCTCTAAGCGCATGCATCTACTCTAACCTCCTCCAGAATTGGACTGAGAAATATAAACTCTGAGTCTGAAATACTGGGTGAATTAAAAAAAATCAGATGTATTGTTTATCTTCCTGTTGGGTTAGGCACACCATCCTCCATGTCAACACTCTGTCCTCCCTCAATGTCCACTCAGCTTTGGCTCTCAGAAGTCCTGCCAGCCCAACTTTGGGTAATTTATCTGCCGTTCTGTTTCCTCTAACCGGTGGCACAACCACTTTGTTTCCTGCCCTGGCCCTGTGTTCTGCCCGCTGGGCAAACACACACATGCACATATGCACGCAAGAAACGACACACACAGACAAACACATACACATACACCTCTGCCTTTACACGACAACTTCCTGTCAATCTTGCTTTCCCACACGTTCTGCACTCAGGCCTCGGGGGTTAGTGAAGAGAGATCTAGCGCTGTGATCCTAATCCAGCCAGGGCCCATATTTGACAAGTATCCCAGTCTGTGAGTGGCAGGATGAACTCTGCTTGGCTGAACTGAAATATGTAATTTGACAGTATTTGACGAGGATGTTCAAACACTGGACTGTTTTATATTCATTTCTGTTTTTCTGTTGCTTATTTAACTAAGATGAAACTGACCTATCAGTGTTTTCCTTCAATGTCTAACATCTTCAAGATGACTTTAAAGTTAGATACAAGTTTTTTTCCCCACACAGTGTCACATACACTGTGTGCACAATTATTAGGCAAGTGAGTATTTTGACCATATCATCATTTTTGTGCATATTCTCCAACTCCAAGCTGTATAAACTTGAATGCTTATTGGATTTAAGCATATCAGGTGATGTGTATTTGTCTAACGAGGGAGGGTGTGACCTAAGGAGATCAACAGCCTATATCAAGGTGTGCATAATTATTAGGCAGCTTCTCTTCCTCAGGCAAAATGGGCCAAAAAAGAGATTTAACTGACTCTGAAAGGACAAAAATTGTAAAAAGTCTTTCAGAGGGATGCAGTACTCTTGAAATTGCCAAGATATTGGGGCGTGATCACAGAACCATCAAACGTTTTGTTGCAAATAGTCAACAGTGTCGCAAGAAACGTGTTGAGAAAAAAAGACGCAAATTAACTGCAAAAGATTTGAGAAGAATCAAACATAAAGCTACCAGGAACCCATTATCCTCCAGTGCTGTGATATTCCAGAACTGCAACCTACCTGGAGTGCCCAGAAGTACAAGGTGTTCAGTGCTCAGAGACATGGCCAAGGTAAGGAAGGCTGAAACCCGACCACCACTGAACAAGACACATAAGTTGAAACGTCAAGGCTGGGCCAAGAAATACCTGAAGACAGATTTTTCAAAGGTTTTATGGACTGATGAGATGAGAGTGACTCTTGACGGACCAGATGGATGGGCCCATGGCTGGATCAGTAATGGGCACAGAGCTCCACTTCGACTCAGACGCCAGCAAGGTGGAGGTGGGGTACTGGTATGGGCTGGTATTATTAAAGATGAGCTAGTTGGACCTTTTCGGGTTCAAGATGGACTCAAAATGAACTCCCAAACCTACTGCCAGTTTTTAGAAGACACTTTCTTCAAGCAGTGGTACAGGAAAAAGTCTGCATCTTTCAAGAGGACCATGATTTTTATGCAGGACAATGCTCCATCGCATGCGTCGAAGTACTCCACTGTGTGGCTCGCCAGTAAAGGCCTTAAAGATGAAAAAATAATGACATGGCCCCCTTCCTCACCTGACCTAAACCCTATTGAGAACTTGTGGGCCCTTCTTAAACGGGAGATTTACAGGGAAGGAAAACAGTACACCTCTCTGAACAGTGTCTGGGAGGCTGTGGTTGTTGCTGCACAAAAAGTTGATCGTCAACAGATCAAGAAACTGACAGACTCCATGAATGGAAGGCTTATGACCATTATTGAAAAGAAGGGTGGCTATATTGGTCACTGAATTTTTTTTTTGAAATGTCAGAAATGTATGTTTGTAGATTTTGAGTTGTTTGTTTATTATTCTCACTTTAATAGATGAAAATAAACAAGTGAGATGTGAAAATTTTCATTTTTCATTTAGTTGCATAATAATTCTGCACACTAATAGTTGTCCAATAATTGTGCACACATGGATTTTCTCCTAAGAAAGCCAAAACCTCACTTTTACTTTCTTAAATATTCAAGTTTGAGGTTTATTAACATTTTGGATTGACCAAGAGCACTGTAGTTGTTCAATAATAAAATTAATCCTCATAAATACAACTTGCCTAATAATTGTGCACACAGTGTATATGTTCTTTATCCGTTTGTTCCAATAGAGGCAGAGCTATAACAATAACCCATTTAAACGATTACTAATAGAAAAAAAAGCATCTGGCAAAAACTTTGACAATCAAGTCATCTTTTATATCATTTTTGAAGCAAAAATGCAAACTCGCTGCTTTTCTTTATCCAGTATGACTGCAAATTGAATATTAATGAAATATTTTTGGATTTTGGACCATTGGTCAGACAAAACAAGAAATTTGACTAATTTACCTTTGGATTTGGGTAAATGTCAGAAAACTTAACAATAAAAATATTTTACAAATACAACGAAAAAACTGAAAAAAAAAATCTGATGGATGGATCTGTGATGGAAACAATCTACTTCAATATTTTCATTAATTAAATATTCCAAAACCATATGTTATGATTAGTAGAAACGCATCATAACATCCAATCGAGAACTGTTAATGTCTTCTATGTGATTTTATTTCCTTCTGTAGTCTAGCACGATGTTTCCTATGTTTGGATACTTGCTGATGTGAACTACAATTTAAAATAGAGCCTTTGTAATGACGACTTGCCATTGAAGCAATGAAGTTCAAGGGCTTAATGGATTTAGCACACAGAGCGTCAGAAGACGCCTAATGATTAGTGGACCCAGAGATGAGCCCTGTGGAACACCATAGCACAGATAAGGTATTTTGTGACTGACATGCTTTCCACAACAAAGGACAAAGAAAGACTACCTTATAAAAAATAAAAGCAAAAACAGTAATTGAATTGATTCTGGATAATTCTGTGTGGAGAAACCAGTTCAGAAATAAAGAGCGGAGAGTTTAAGAAGTCATAACAGAAGGTCAAAGCCCAGGAGAGGAAGACTGCGGCTGAAGGAGCCCATTCGGGGAGGAAATGAGAAGAGGTTGTGGCCAAAAGAAAAAAACATGAAGAAGCAAGAGTAGCAGATCAGGAGAGAGGGACAAGTGTATACGCTGAATCACTGGAAGGGTGACTAATCTGCCACTAAGAGAATTCTCTGAAGTGGCGTACAAACCTGTACAAGCTGCCAGATGCACGAGAGGAACAGGCTGAGAGGGGAGAGGAAGTTGCTGATGAAGAGGTGACTTTTCTAGTTAGTTTTCTTGACAACCATGACTCACATGTGATTAAGCACAGCAGCAGTAAAGTAGTGCAGTTTTAGCTTCCAAGCTGCCACTTATAGAACATATTTTAAATTCGCTATCCGTGCTTTGGCTAACTATTTGTTTATACTGTGTATTTCCTACTAATCAAGGATTGTGGGCTTAGTAAATATTGTTGAATGGATTCTCATAAATGTGCGTCATAGGCCGTATGCTTGATTTCAGTGAGCAGGCCTGTGTTATCTGTTCAAGTGCTGGTACTTGTATCTGCCAGTATGTGTTGTCTCTGCTGTTGCCTTAATGAAGCATTTCCTAATATTTTGGCTGCAGTTGTAGACATCTGGACTGGAAATCTTTTAGGTAACTATGACACATTTACAGAAATAGCTATTAACGTACATTGTTGTCTTACAAACTGGAGACAAAGCTGACTAATTACCAGCTGCTGCAACCTACATGTAAAGCCTTCAAAGCTGAGAGGTTCCTCTGCCTGGTGACAACCTTCAACTTATCTGGGTTGCAGCTGAACTCTGCCCTGTGACTGATCAAACTGTGGTTAGTCGAACCCACAATAAAATGTCGTATCAAAAAGACTGTTAGAGAGCATCACCCCACTGTGGTTTGCATTTTCCACCCACTGTGGGAAATATACAGATGTGCACATGCACTAACATGTGTGTCGCAGTGCTCATATCTCTACAAATCATATCACTCTACATGTTTGCTTCATGACATAAACAGAGGCCCATATTCAAATTCCAAAATAGTGAGCATGCTCAGACAATTAAAAATACAAAGCCAGACCTATTAGGCCAAAAGTACACAGACACCCCTTTCTTCAATTTCTGTACTTGTGATCTGGCACTGCTTTTCTCAAGAACTGGACTGTACAACGACTGACCTCAACTGCATCAAACACAGTACATTGACTGTAAACTCTGTTTTACCTCCTGAATTCAGCTGCAGTTTGTTTCATCATAACACAACTTTGTAAAGAGGGACCAGAAAAAGTGAAATTCTGAAAAAGAAAGGAGGCAAAGAGAGAGTCGGAGACCATCTGTGACATGCTACAGTTGTTTCTCCATTGCTACTCAATAGTCAGTGCTTTTAGCCAGAGTAACTACCCTGGGGCCAAGCCTTATAAAAAAGTTACCCCTATTTCTACATCTGCCCGCCCTCAGTCAACGCTTGGGTCCTATCTACCAGTCCTATCAGACAAAAAAATCTGTGTCGCCGCTTAAGGAGCCTCGCTGCCCAACATCAGTGCCTAACCTCAGTATCTGGTGGTAAGCCTTCCCAGAAAAAGTGGAGCTTGTTACAGCAGCATATTATCATTTCAAAATACAAGATATTCAACAATTACTTACTTTTGGTACTTGTACTGTAGCTCATGGTGCACTCTCTTTAAAATTATTTTTATTTCTCATGTGATTATTTCGCATTCACGCAATAAAAATGCCTTTGAAACAATCAGGTACATTTCCTAAAAATTATTTTCCTGAACAATATTGTTTTCAGTAAATGATATTGTTAGTTTTTATTCAGTGAGCTGTTGTCTTGATGTTTTTTATGATTCAGCAGCTTGTAATATACAATTTGGTTATTGAAAAATGTGAACTATTGAAAATTGTAATGGCTCTTACAATACATATATAGGTAAAAAAAAAATTGCGGACAACATTTAACCTTAAAGATTACATTGGGCACAATTACGGTTGCTTTCTGATTGTTTTCTTGCGTTTAGACCAGTTGACTATGCTGTTTAAACGTATCCTAATCAAATTCAAATTTATTTATAAAGCACATTAAAAGTTGACCCAAGTGTGGTATGATCAGAAAATAGCAAAAAAAACAACAACATAAAAATAAAACAGAAAACACAAAAAACCCAAACAAAACAGGGAAAACACAGAAACAGAGGGCAGTTTAACAGACAAAAAGAACAGTAATATAGAAAGCCATTGCTCATTGTTAGTTAAAAGCCAGAGAATAAAAGTGTGTTTTAAACCAGGACTTAAAAACAGGCAGTGTGGAGGCCAGCCTTACATGAAAATGCAACTCGTACCAAAGTTTGGGGACTACAACTAAGAGGCCGTTTAAGCTGTTTAGTGTCAGGGAAATGAGTCACTCGGAACATCACTACTCATCGGTTACCAAAGAATATCAAGTATAAAATGTGCTTCAAATTAATGACACATTAGCAGTTTATCATACACTGAGAATATATCATAACTGAATCTCTTACAACCATCTTCATTGTATAACTATCCTTATTTCCACTACACAGCCACACTGAGCCAGCCCAGGCCTTTTCAGTGCACTCATTGTCTACATAAATAATACTTATGTGAGTCTACATCCACAAGGGATTATTTGTTTGTTGCTGATCTGTTGAACTGCAGTTGAAAATAATTATGTTGTGACATTTAGCTGTGCTAAGTGCCTCTTAGCAATGCTGGGGACAATTGGCTTTTGGCATCCAGGCTCCTATAAACAAGGGGAGGCTTTGGTATGTCAGTAATCTCTGCCATGATAACTGCCTGCGTGGTTACAGTTGTGCTGTCATTGGGGAAATTTTCAGTATCACTGATCCGCGGCTGTCCTTGGCAGAACATCGTGTGTTTACATATGTATTTTTTATGGGAGGTCTGACGGTAATGAACGTTGTGGAAGTGAGGGAAGTGAGGGAATGAAACTGACAAATAAAACCGGTCTGACACTTCTCCAAATGAAAATTTTCATTCCTGGCCACTATGTTTCAGCAACTGTCATCACATTACAGTCTTCACCTAATCTCTCACTTCACCTATCTCTCTGTGCTTTCCTACCTCCTCCTCCTCCTTCTACTCCTCTTCTCCCTCTCCTTTTCATCTCTCCCTTCTGCTGCACATCTCTATGGTTTGTCAACATTGTTAACATGCTTACGTTCCAATCTAATACGACCACATTTTATTGTCAAGTAATTAACTTATGTGTGCAACATGTTGTTGCTGTGTTCACCCATCTAGCCACCAGCCACCAAGCCGTCAAATGTTCTCAGTTTGTATAACGCAGGCTGGCCTTGAAACAAGACCCCGCGGTAGACGAATGGAGGGGCGTAAGAGACGCATGCAGCTTAATTGCTGCAAGATGTAACCTCGCCTGCAGCCTACTGTGGCCCACAAACACACTCACACACTCACACACATTCATGCACATGAAAGCATGCGCATACACACACATTTAAAAAAAAAGCATGCAAACACACAGTCAGACATGTGTACACATTGTAGATGCGGCAAAGAAAACACAAACTGCTTTAAGTGTTTTACTAAATTACAGCATGGCTGGATTTGTTGCTCGGCATCGCGGCACGGGTCCAAACTTCATAGACACATTTTTTGTTTGTTTGCTGGTGAAAAACGAGGTTTTAATTCTACTACAAGGCTGTCCTTTGATGGAGAACATTCAAACGTCCCTCTCTCTGAAGCAAACCAAATGGAATCAAACCAAATCGAAATGATTCAAAATCTACGGCTTTCGTTTCCTCGAGGCATCTTAAGATG